GGACATTGGACATTGGACATTAAGTACCTATTAGTCCTCAGCACCATTGCCCAGGATGTGATACTGCACCTTACTTTCTGCCTTTCAGAAAAAAACTTTTGACTCGTAGTGTTGGAAGCCACAAGAACAGCCAGCAACATATCAATCTGGACGCCATTTTGGCCGGGCCACACATCGTCCTGTGCAAACTGAACTGAACTGAACTGAACTGACCTTGACATATCCGAATATTGGTCGTTGTACATTGAACCGCGGCGCAGCTTATTTTTCGGTCAATGGCGAAAGTAACTCACATCAAGAGTGATAAAAAGCCGGAAACCGATAAAACTGGAAAAGCAGATGCAAACGTCGAGCTCGGTATGCTCGAAGAAGATGACGAATTTGAGGAATTTGTTGCCCATGGTTAGCACTTCTGCTCACGTTATACATGTATTGTAGGTCTTACAGGTGATGTTAAATCAGAGGAGATTACTGTTTGGGAAGACAACTGGGATGACGATGTAGTTGATGATGAATTCACGCATCAGTTGAGGTAAAAGTAAACTGTTTGCATATTCTATTCCTTTCACAGGACCGAGTTCCAAAAGCAACACAAGACATTCGTTGTTCCCGAAATATTCCCCAACATGGACTGATTGCTGTGTAAATGATTACCATATGAAAATAAAACCGCTCTTTCAGAATGAGTTTCAGTTAATGAAACCATTTGTGTTCTGGAAATTGTGCATACTCCCCTAGTTGTTTGAATTGTGATTACGTGAAAAAATGTACTTAGCCAGGTTAGTTCAAAACCCATCAATCTGAACTGCCAACATGTTGACGACTGCTTCAAGCTGCGACCTGTGGGAAAATACTGCAGACCTGTAATGGGTAGGAGTCGATTTTTTCCCGGGGTTTTTCGAAGTCAAGTTTGCGAGGACAAAAGGTAGTCGTCACTGTTGCCCTCTTTACACTCCAATTTCATCGTGAATTGAGTACAAAGATGGTAGTATCTTGGTATAAGAATACTGTTGATCAATCTGCCGGGTGATTCACAATCTCCTCTTTAGTACGCAGATGACTATTCCATGTAACAATGGTCCAGGTGGTTTGCAGGCTCGTTGGGTAGTACGTGATATCTACGATAACCGAACACAAGTCGTCTTGACATTCATAGTTACCATAGAGAGCAGATCAGTTATTGCTCTGATTGATTAGGAAAACGAAGACGTGTGACCAACGTTTTATCAAGCGTGCCTTCCCGGAGTCATATCGTCGGGTGACATATCTGCAGTGTATCCTGCTTGATGACATAGACCCAGGGCTAATGCAGTATTTTACTCTGTGCGAGCAAACCAGGGCTGGTGGGCATGGGTTCACATTAGTGAAGCTTCCATCAATCGACTTACCTGTCACGTACCGGCTGTGTGCAGGGTAACCAACCTATGGAACTCCCAGCTGATGTGGCCGATGAGGTCAATAATAACATTTTCAACAGGAAGCTCCACTGCGTTCTTCGTGAAATGTGGTATACAGGTATGACTTGAATGCGTACCTTGAGTTTGTGTTGACGAGGCTTATACGGAGGGTTTCCCGCTGCCTGTATTGACGAAAATGGAACATTGACACATGCGGTAGGTGGCATACACGTGCAACAGGACAGCAGCACTCACCCGGACAAGTAATGAATCCGCGTTTGAGCGTAAACAGGCCATAGGAAACTCAGAAACAAGATAAAGACAATTTAACTACAATCCTTAATTAATGGACTAAGTGTAGCATAATCTCCTTACACTGTGGAATGTTATTTTTTACGGTCGATCCGAAAACTCGAGTGGATTGATGGTACGGAGGAGGAATGGGTGGTTTGTTCTACTTAAGGAGCCGTATCTGTCCTACAAAGCCTGTCTTCTTGAGAGTCGTCACGGATACAAAGGGTGCTTCTAGCGTTAAGTAACACCCTTGGCGTCGATCCAGCTATTCATACTCCTCAAAGGCCTCGATAAATTGGTTCTAACGCTATCACTGCTCGAATACATTTACACCAGCTTGATGAGTCAACTCGTGCAGTGTCTATTGCAATGGGTGTGTTCGTCAACCTAGATCAAACAAAATTGAAGTGGTACATTTAGACTATAATTTATGCCGTCAAATAGGCCCCATAGTCGTGTTTTCCGAGGTAGCTAGGTGTTACGTGGAGAATGAGCACACTGTATTGGGTGTTATGTGCACGAGTTTTGACCGAATTCGGTAGGATGGTGGTTAAGCAATTCAAGTCGCGTTTTTCTGGGCCGTGAGGTTTGAGATGGTAATCTTGTCACCATCACTCAACTTTTGTGGATGAATACCACCTAACCCGTAGGTGTTTTACACGGTTCGACACTCCAAGTCCCGAGGTTCAGTTAAGCGATTATCGTGGGTAATGAATAGGTCTTCGTGACCATGGGGTAATCGCTTCTGCCGCGGAACGAAATAATAATATATGGACCGTGTCGAGCTTCCCAGATAAAGTTCTGGGATTAACGTAATCGGAGGTTATACCCAATAGTTGGTATAACTGATTATCAATTCATTTAATGAGCTTATCAGTCGTTTCTTGTCTGATTTACAAATTCAGTAATTGCTCGTAGTGTTTGTTACTTAAAAAGACAGGTGGCTCAAAGCCCACCAGAACCAAGAATCGATGTTCTGTAAACTGGACAATCAATTCTCGAAAGCAGTAGTCTACTCTTTACAGTCTACCAAATTCTTATTGGCACGATAAGGCAACAGTTTGACCGTTTTTCAAATCAGCACGCTTTTGGACTCAGTAGGTTATTTTTAACACTAAGTACTCAGGCTTCAACCCCCTATTGATAACATTTGATTTTATGCTAATATCTCCTTTATAACTTTATCTTAACTACCGAGATAACTGTGGCGTTTAGTTATTTTTAAACTTGGGGTTTTCGACCTTTTGCATGCAAAAACACCGAATCCTTAGTTATGCACTTGAATGTGCAGGCCAATAGATGATGTATGGAGAAATTCACTACTCGCTTAGGTGTATCAGGCGTCTACCATCTTACAGATTGGGGTTCAAAAGGCTGACTGTTTGGTTTGAAATACTGGAGGATATTACAAGGAGATGTGATCTTAATGTTTCCTGAATGGACAGAACGCTTGAAAAGACATACTTGTACAATTAACTTGTGTACTCTTTGTTCGTCAAGATGGCTCACTTTTTCCCACCATACCCGAAAAAACATACTTCCCCAGCACCTTGCATCTTTAGCTTGGCAGCGATCGGCAAAGTTCGCTTTCTTTAGTTTCACTGCATGTTGATGATGATAATCAGTACTACTGGTTCAGTCAGTAGGTGTACATTTTCCAACTTGGTTGCCTCTAATCATCTAGGTGCGGCGCAGGAGCCGACTTCCTAAATGTTTCTTTTAAAACATTGCCTTGAATGAAGCTGTTAGATTGATGGGTAACCGGAAATATAAATGCGCACTGACAAATTACTCCGTTTTGGATTCGCCATCCATGTGTTTGATCGCTTGGAGCCGCAAGTGTTTCCCTGTTACTCTATCTCGTCCTGTTCTGATTATTTCCGCGGTTACCCACGTAGTCGGTACGTCCGTCCCCGGAAGACAAGACTGCTTCTTTTTTATAAAGTATACATTCAACCACAGCTCACTGTGGAGTGCAGCACCTCACTGATCTGATCATACTGATACATCTTTCAGAGTTGACATCGAGGGAAAAGTCACCTCAGATCACAGGTATCGGGATACTGGAGATACCTTTTCATTTATTTTACTTCCGATAGTCAAGAATTCATCCGGTGTTTTGCCGCTGCCAATAAGTTCTCTGTTTTAAAATTTATCCAGTGCTGTTTGGTCGGTTGGATTAAGTACACAATTTCTGTTTTGTTCCTCCCTATTCACCTCGGTGTATACGGCCACCCGCATCCGTGTTTACTAGATAACTGAACCATTTTCATCTCAACCTTTTTTACACATTCTTCTCTAGATTGATCTTTGTTGGGTGCATTTCGTCACCTCCATTCCGCACCGTAGCCACCACCGACTGACGGCCTATTTGGCGTGTGCGTACACCTTCCGTTAAATCTCTTCTGTTCATTTGGATTACTGGTGCAGGCTGGCCTTCAAAGTTCGCGATTCTAACATCATCGTCAGACGGACTTGCTGTTGCCGGCTCAGTAACTACCTTTTATCGGTGCTCAAGCGGTTTGAGGTGCTGTTATTGCCATGCACCGGGGTTTATTCCTAATCTCCATGGTTTTAATCGTACTACCACCATCCAGCCCAATCTCACACTGGGATCTTCGTTGGTTCGTAACTCTAAGTCCTGTGGATATCAGCACGGGGTTATTCCTTTCGTTGTTGATCTTGTTGCGGAGTATGCAAGGACTGTTTGGTTTCTCTTCATTTTCACTTCCTTTCACATAATATGGTCGCGGGTGGGTG